GGCGAACGCACGCACCCTGTAGCAAAAACCTCTCAAAAAAATAAATAAATAAAATAAAACAAAAAAACAAAAACGAAAGCCAAAGTTTACCAATTAAGTACAAACAAAACTACTGAATAAGGAAATCATATCTATAATACTAATTGATATAAGGGGTGATATTTTGCTGACACTAAATCTCTCCTCACTACTTTATACAGACCACAGTGGCACAGAGCTATCTGTTTGCTACTGGGTGACTCAGTCCTCCCACTAACCTCTGCTAGTACAAAGTGTATCATGATATATTTGACTGGAATATGGTGTGGACACATTCGTTTATTTATCTTTGTTGCCAGGGGGTACACGTTCTTGCCAGAGAAAGCAAGGGAGAAGGCAATCCTCCCTGGGACATGGTCACATTGCGATCTCGTTCCTCCACTTCTCCTTCCCATCAGAGTTTTAGGCGTGTGCACACACTTACCTGGAGTGTTTTTCAAGCCACTGAGTCCAGGATTCAAACCATGGTTGGCCATGTGGGATCTGGCTACCTTAACCACTGTGTTCTGGGGTAGGCCTAGCTTTCCTTTTTCTTTTTCTTTCCTTCCTTCCTTCCTTTTATTTTTTTTTTCTTTAATAGAGTGTGTGCAATCACCAGAGAGAGAGAGACACAGAGAGAGGGAAAGTGAGAAAGTAGCCCCCACGAAAGTCTCCCCACACACAGACGAGCGATGACCACACTGCAATCCTTTCTCCTCCATTCTCCTCTTGGGATTTTGGGCATGTGTATTTACTTCCCCAGTGTGTTTTTCAAGCCACTGGGTCCAGGACTCCAACTGCACAGTTGGCCATGTGGGATCCAGCCACCTTAACCATCATGCCACTTGGCTAGCCCCTATCATTTATTTTTAAATTCTTCTCTCTATTTTTTCCTCATAAATCTGCAACGATTCATTTAGTACTATTTGCCATTCAAAGATAAAAACACAGGCAGTGAAATTGCATTCTTAGAATAATTACAAAGGGTGAATAAATTTATAAGGATATTCTGTTCCACTAGTAATTTAATATGAATTAAAAAGAGAGGCCATTTCATCTATTAGATTGGTGTACTTACCTTTTTTTTTTTTTAAATTTTAACTTTTTAAAAAGGTAAAATAAGGGACCAGCAGTTAGCGTAATGGCTATGTCGCTGGACTCCCACATGGCCGACCATGGTTTGCATCCCGGATCCGGTGGCTTAAAAACTCACACCCAGTGCGTGTGTGTGCATGCATGCCCAAGATCCCAAGAGGAGAAGGGAGGAGAAGAGATTGCGGCGTGGCCATCCCCCCTGGTGGTTGATTTCTCACTTTCTGTCTCTCTGTCTCTGTCTGGCGAGTGCATGCGCCCTATAGCAAAAACCTCTCCCCTCCCCCCAAAAAAAGGTAAAATAAATGGTGGTGGGTAAGTATGATTGGCATCCCTCAACACCAGGAGAGAATAAATACTGGCTGTATCTTTCAGGAAAACAGTTTGGCAGTAGATACTCACAGACTTAAGTATTTGAATGAATAATTTCACTTACAGATTTCTGTTCTAAGGACATAGTTTTAAAATGTAAGCCAAGAGTCCTATAAAAAGCTATTCATGGCAACGTTCTTGTTAACAGTGAAATAGCGGAAAGCCCCCGAATGTCTCAACATAGAGGAAATACATGATCAATACTTACATAGCCATTACTAATATTTGTAAGGCCAGCTCCATGGCACAGAGTGACGTGCTGCTCAAGGATGCTGAAGGCATGCAGAAGGTTCCGGGCTTAGTTCCCCAGTTCACGTGTCCTGGGCACGTTGGCCATGGTCTGACCGGCTGGGAGAGCTCAGGAGGATGATGGCGTCGGCTCCCCGTCGAGGGTCGTCCTTCTCTTTGTCTCTCTCTGCCTCAGTTTCTCTCTCATGGAAGAAATAAGCTTAAAAACACCGTTAACAATTTCAATGACCATGTACAGTGCTCAAGAGATAGGGAACCAGCAGTTAGCGTAATGGCTATGTCGCTGGACTCCCACGTAGTCGACCGCGGTTTGTGTCCCAGACCTGGTGGCTTAAAACTCACGCCGGGCGCGTGTGCGTGCATGCCCAAGATCCCGAGAAGAGAATGGAGGAGAAGGGATTGCGGCGTGACCATCCCCCCTGGGGGGTGATTTCTTGCTTTCTGTCTCTCTGTCGCTCTCTGTCTTTCTGGTGAGTGCACGCGCCCTATAGCGAAAACTTCTCCAAAAAAAAAAAAAAGATAAAACGCTGAGGAGGAAAAAAGCAGAAAATGGAAACAAGCAGAAAATGGCCTATTAACAACATATTCTGAATATGTAGTTCTATAATGTAAAAAATATAAACATTCAAAGACCAACTAACAAAAAAAAGGTCAACACAATGATTGCTTTTTCTGGAATGTGGAAGATTTTTGCTTTTTTTTGTCCTCTTTTAGATTTAGTTTTTCGAGTTTTCTATAATAAGCATACGGTACTTTTTAGTTAATGTAAACAGCCCTGGAAAGGATAGCATGTGACACTATTTTCCATTGTAAATAGAGCTTGTGATGGTTGGTTTTGGGTCTCAACTTGACTGAGCTACGGAATACCTAGAAAAAGCACTACCCTGGATGTGTCCATGGGAGGGTTCCCAGGAGGGGTTAGCCTGGGAGTTTGACTGAACTAGACGTGGGAGATCTGTCCTCACTGTGGGTGAGCATGAACTAATCAACAAGAGTCCCAGAGAAAATAAATACTGAAGATGAACGGTCCCTTTTGAGACAGCCAGATAGACTTCTGCTGCCTTGAGATCGTAGCTCAGGCTTCGGCCGCCTTCGGACTCTGTGCTCACACTAGTGGGCCCCCGAGCGCTCAGGTTTTCAGCCTGACTGCGAGTTATATCAGCAGCCTCTCTCCCTCCAGTGCTTTCAGACTTGGACTGATCCATGCTACCGGAGCCCAGGACCTAAGCTGGCACGGGGCCTATTGTGGGACTTCTCAGCTGCCATCATCGTGTGAGCCAATTCCCCCGATAAATCCCCTCTTACTCGTCTACACATACTCTCTGGTTCTGCCCCCCAGACAGCCCCGAATCACACAAGGGTACTTGAAGGGTTGCTTCGGAGAGGTCTCAGAGGTAGCTTGGACGGCTCTAAAACACCTCCTACTGTAAGCTGAAATCTTCTCTATAAATTCATCTACCTACCCTAGGTTTGCTTTCTAGAGCTACCCAGAGGTAGCCATGGCCATGCTAAGGACCTCACCTTTCACCACCACAGCCCTGCTCCCCTCGCCTACACCAATTCCCCTGTGCCCCACGCTTTCAACAGTTTTGTCAGCAGGGATTCTGGTCTCACTAGCCTGCTTACTCCGCTTCAGACAGTCCTTACACACACACACACACACACACACACACACACACACTGGGTGAAGATTAAAGTTCGATAGCAACTCACCATGCCATGACACATCAGACAAGACAGCAACTGCCACGCTTTCAACAGTTTTGTCAGCAGGGATTCTGGTCTCACTAGCCTGCTTACTCCGCTTCAGACAGTCCTTACACACACACACACACACACACACACACACACACATACACTGGGTGATGATTAAAGTTCGAAAGCCACTGCCCATGCCATGGCACATCAGGCAAGCCAGCAACTGGTCCCCACCCTTACGCTATGCTGTCTCTGGTGCCACTGTTCCCTCGGCTGGACATTCTGCCCACTCTCTGCTACTTAAATCAAGGACTGATAATGCCACTTTCTCCCTGAAGCGTTCCACCATTCCCCCTCCCCTGTGACCCTAGAGTGATGTTCCCATACCTTTTTTTCACTAGAAACCACCTGCCTTGTACTGTCATTATGTCAGGTAACTGAGTTCTTATACAAAGAGTACCCTGGCCCAGGTGTGGCAGTGCACTGGTTGAGGCAGCTAGTGGGTGGGCTGAGGCTACTTGGGAGGCCCCATTCTATTCCCAAGCCCACCCTAAAAGCCGAGCCTGGTAGCACATGCCTGGAGTCTCAGCTACTTGGGAGGCCGAGGCAGGAGGATCAGACATAGTAAGACACTGTTTAAACTAGCGGGTTTGTGTGTGTGTTATGGGACTGTCTGAAGCAGAGTAAGGCCCCAACAGGAATAAGATCTGTGTCCTAGGACCAACGTTACCTACAGCAGTGACTGTAAAACCAGCCTGTCCTGAAAGCTTTCATTTTTTTTCAGGAGCAATAAACATACATGTGTAATCATTTTAAGATGTCTCTTTCAAGAGTGTGTCCCTCCTATATTTTGGTATTAAGATGCATTTATGCAGAGCGAAATTTATTTGGCAAGATAAAACACTCACAATTCCGTGTTTGGAAAATTAATAATAATTATTATTTTTTTACACTGGTTACAGACTCCGAAAGCCAGAGAATCCACTGTTATTTCTGGGCTGGCTGAAGGTAGGGTCACTTTCTTAAAAGCCACATGGATTCACTGATGTAGCCAGAGATTTTCTCCCCCAAGGACTGCTATTTATTGGTCTGCGCTCCTCTTCGGACGTTTCCACTCTCCAGGGCCCCAAGATGTTAGTGGCTGATAAATCCACGGGGCGAGTCACCCTATCTCTGGCCCTTTAAATGGGGGCGTGGCCTAGAGGCGAGGCCCGCCCCGGGAAAAGAGCGGTGAGCGCAGAAAAGCGGAAGCGTGGCCCCTGGTGGTAGGGACTGCGCGTGCGTGAGGCTAGAGCAGGGACGGGGTCACGTGGGGTGGGGTCCTGGGCCGGAATGGCTGCGAGCTCAGGTACCGAGTCTCGGGAGAGCGGGCCCACGGGGAGGGGACAGCGTGAGGGGCCGTGCTCGGGGTGGGGGAGCGCGCGGGGTCCCTGAGCCTGCCCGGCTCCCGCGGGGCAGCAGCGCGGCCGCGGCCGCTCACAAGGCCCGGACGGACTAATGGACCGGGCACCGGCGGGGGGGGGGGCGCCAAGGCCCGGACGGACTAATGGACCGGGCACCGGCGGGGCGGGGCTCTCGGGGCGGAGGGGCCTGCAGTGCAGGTGGACCCGAACTGAGTCACGCAGTGTCCACTTGTCGGTTCCAAACGTGGAGCTACGGGACTGGCGCACTGGCTCCCCCGAGGCAGGGGACTCCCTCCTGCCGCATTTCGGTGCAGAACAGGTGTGCAGCCCGCCTCTCCGCCGTGGGAACAGGTGCGGACTGTCACCATCCTAAGGAGAGAAGTGTGCGCCCGCCCGGGGTCTGAGACCGGGGCTTAGGTGGGGTGACCACCTCCTAGGATGGATGCGGCCCGTGTGGCCCCTTTCCATTTTGCTTCTGCCCACGAGGTGTGCCCCAGAGCGAGGGTAGCAGCGTGGAAAGGAGTGTCTGAAGCTTGGGGCCACCTCTTTGCCCAGGCTGGTTCCCTAACCGTGGCCTGGGGAGGGGGAAAGAGCCGTGCAGTGTTTGGGGGTACAGAACAGCTGTGCTTAGAGTTCCATTCAGTTATACACTGAGTAGATGGTGACTTTCTGTACTAATTTCCAGTTCAGTAAACTGGGATGGGGTAGGATCAGGTCCATGGCCATGGATTATCAGGAACAACTGGAAACTTCCTAACTAGGCAGGCCCTCTCCATAATCTCCGCTCGGTGGGTCAGTGTTCGAGTGGACAGGAAGGCTTATCTCCTGTTGCCCGCCCTGTACCACAGTCTCCCCTTCTCCCACGAAACAAAGCAAAACGACAGAAAACAAGTTAACACGCTTGGTTGTTAGCTTCTGGCCCTCATCCTACTGCAGAGTCTGCGTGTGAAAGATAATTACGTGCCGGTTGTGTGTGTCTTGCAGGTGTGGTTTGAGCTATCTCTAAATGGAAGTAGAGGATCTGCATACATTTGCCTCCGACCTGGGTTCGCTCATGGCTAAATGTTCGCAGAGTCCTCTGGCAGCAGATGGCCTGTTCTGTAGAATGCAGGGTAGGAATAAATGGGGCGGGAGGAGCTACTGAACTACTGGGCTTCACATAGTTGAAGAGACGAGTTATATGTGGAAAAACATGAACAGAATAATACGTTGGTTTTCCCTTATATATTTCCTTTGTATCTGGGCCATCATCAGAGGAATGTTTTCCATCCTGCAAAATATTGAAGCATCCTGGTGACTCTTGGCTATGTCCCACTATCCCATAGACATTTCAGCCACAGTGACAGCAGGTGTCAGTTCTGTGTGTGAGTGAGAAGTAAGGTCTTCTGAACTTCGTGAAGTGCGTATGACTTTCAGTCTGTTAAGTACGTTTCCTCAAGTTTAGATAGCATTTTCTTTTGAACCGCAACTTCAGGTGTCATCTGTACGTATTTGCAAGATCAGACTGTTTTATTCTTAACTTAATCTTGAATTAACATTATTGAAGTGTATTGTGTGTTTTAGCCAGGAATCACAGAATTGCCTTAAATTTCTTGCTGTGGGGGATTTCTTAGATTTACATTTTTAGTCAAGGTTCTTTCTGTTGCAAGTGACAAAAACTCAATTCAGATGAACTTAAGCAAAAAGGGATTTACTGGTTCCCACACCTGGGAAGGGCTAGGAGTCACTAAATCCAGGGACTCAAATGTGTTATGTACCCTCCCTCCCACCCCGAAGAAGGACCTTTAACCCTTCATTTTCCTGTTTCTACTTCTCTGATCGCAAACCTTGTTCCATTATATTATTGCGTAATACCATTAAATTATTATATTAATGTATGGTGATGTTAGACAACTCCTGTGTTAGATTTTCCAATCCAAACACCCTAGAGTAGAGAAAAAGCCCTTAGCTCCCTCAGTATTTGCACGTACGGGGAAAGAGGCTGAATGGCTCCACTCCCATCATGCATCTGCTCTACTGACTGGCACATAGGGTCCCTGATTAGCAGCACCTCCAAAGTCACGGGGTCGGAGTGGACCAGGAACAGTTTCTCAAAGGAAAGATGCTGAAGGTGCTGGGATTAAAAAAAAAATGAGTACAGTTTTCCTTCAAGTTCATCTGTTCCATGATGACAGAGGAGGACAGAGTGAGAGGGAGGGAGAGAGCAGCACCCCCATGAGGTCTTGAGGTGGTGACTACCAGCGTGTGTGCCTGGTGTACTCAGGCCTCCAGATGCACAGCTGTGACTTCTTCATGTGGGCCACACTCTACCACCGTGCAGTGCGGTGGTCCAGCCCCTAGGGTATTTGACCTTTGTCTTTCCTTCTGCAGTTCAGTAGGAAGCTTCCAACTTCTTTCTTTTTCAAAAAAACCCCAGCAATAATGGGCCAGGAGTTGGCTGTGTTGCTGGACTCCCATGTGGTCAACTGCGGTTCGAGTCTGGCCCCGGTGGCTCATGTGCCCAGGATTCCGAGAGGAAAATGGAGAAGAAGGGATTATGGTATGGCCATCCCTCTGGGGGGTGATTTCTTGCTTTCTGTCTGTTTTTCTGCCGAGTACACACATCCTATGGCAGAAACCTCTCCCAAAACACCCCGTAACAAAACAAAAAAGGAAAAAAGAAAATAAACTTATAACTCTACATCATCCTTGACACCTAACCAAGAGAAGTGGAGATGACAGTTTAATTTACTGAAAATTAAATTAATGAGGAAAGCCACCATCTACTCAGTGTATAACTATCTTTTATGCATTTAACTTACAAGAATTCAGCTATGCTAAAAAAGAAGGCACGGGAATATTTTTCAGCCTGCATAGAGCCTATATGTGCTGGCCAGAGAGAGAGAGAAAGAGAAAGTGAGAACACATCCCAGGGAGAAGACCATGCCTGTTCCTTTTCCATGCTCCTCTCAGGGTTTTGGGCATTTATGCACATGCACCAACTGTGTTTTTAAAGCTGCTGGATCCAGGACTCAAACACACAGCTCACCATATGGGATCCAGTCACCTTAACCAGCATACTACCTTGCTGGTCCAGCTTATATGCTTTTCAGGAAAAGTTCTCTGGGGTTGGGATGGATCTTGATGGAGAGTCTCAGGACCACCAGATGGAGTAATGGCTATGTTGCTTGACTCCCATGTAGTGGACCGTGGTTCGAGTCCCAGACCCAGTGGCTTAAACTCATGCCGGGTGCATGTGTGTGCATGACCAAAACCCCAAGAGGAGAACGGAGGAGAAGGGGTTGCGGTGTGGCCATCCCCCTGGGGGGTGATTTCTCACTTTCTGTCTCTCTGGCGAGTGCACATACCCCATAGCAAAAATCTCTTTTTTTAAAAAAAAAGCTCATAGTAGTAATAACTTGACTAGAAGCTGGAAAGAAAGGATTCTTCTTTTTCATTTCACTTAACACATCATACGCATAATGATATAAAACTAAGCAAAATTTGGATTTATATATAATAGAGATATTTGTAGACTCAGTTTTTGTTTTGTATTTTGTGATAGGAGCTTTCTGATTTGGGGGCTGCCTCTTTTTTTTTTTTTTTTTTTTTTTTTTTTTGAAGGGTTTTTTCTTTTGCTCGCCAGAAAGACAGAGAGAGACAAAGAGATAGAAAGTGAGAAATCACCCCCCGGGGGATGGCCACGCCACAGTCCCTTCTCCTCCATTCTCCTCTCGGGATCTTGGGCACACACACACATGCGCCTGGCGTGAGTTTAAGCCACCGGGTCCAGGAACCACGGTAAACTACATGGGAGTCCAGTGACATAGCCATTACGCTAACTGGTGGTCCCTAATTTGGGGGCTTCTTGAGGGTGGTGTGTGACAGTTGGATGAGTGACAGCACTGTGTACAGGAAAGTCTCAGGCTCTGTTCCTTTTCCCTTTTATTTTTTCTTTTGGTGCTATCATTTGTTGTTCTGTGTGTACTTCCTAAGTTGTAGATGATCACACTTCTTGTTTAGATAGTCATCAAAGGAAGAGTAAGAGGAACAGAGGTCTGGGCTTTTTCATGTGGCAGGTCAAAGCACTGTGGGCTGAAGAGACCCGAATACACGTGTTCTTGGAAAGAACCTCTGGGTCCAGGAAGCAGTCCGTCCCGCTGTATGGTTGCATCCAACCCAGGGCCTGTTTCTAAAGTCCACGTGTGAGAATTGAGTCACTTCTTGAAGTACCCTGGGAAGGAATGATGCCGGAGGCTGACACGTGACCCTGAGGAAGTCCAGCACTGCGGGTTTCTGCTGCGTTCTGGAACAGCATGCTGTTTGTTATTTCGAGCCCAGCTACTGTGGATTGCTCGTGTACGAGGCAGGCAAGAACAGGCTGACCGAAAGGTTAGAAGGCCTCCTTCCATTCCGTGCTCACTGGAGCATGTCGTTACTGAGTGGAATGGTTCGCAGTGTCTCTAGCCCTGTGTGAGTTTATTTTTTTTTCCTCTTTCCTTTGGTGATGACAATAGTTGACTTCCTGTAAATTGAATGAATCTATGATAACATTTCCACGTTTTCATCTTAGCCTGTAAGCTGAATGAATGTAAAAGAACATGTAGCATCTGAGATTATGAGGTTTGTGTCATGTTATATATGTGACCTAAATGATCACTTAAAATAAAATCAGTCTTGGGGCCAGCAGGTGGCATGGTAGTTAAGGTGCTGGATCCTCACATGACTGACCACAGCTTGAATTCCAGACCCGGCAGCTTGAAAATTACTTCAGGTGCGTGTGCATGCATGCCCGAAGTCACAAGAGGAGAGTGGAGGAGAAGGGATTGTAGCGGGGCCATCCTCCCGAGGGGGTGATTTCCCACTTTCTCTCTGTAGCTTTCTGGTACGTGTGTATGACCTATGGCAATGAATAAACAAACGAACAGACTTGTAGTTCTAGCACAGCTCTTGGCATGACGGTTAAGTGACTGGGCCCTGTAGGACCAACTGTGTGGTTCGCATCCTGGACCTGGCCTCTTGAGAAACATGCTGGGCCTGTGTGTGTGCCTGCTGAAAATCCCAGCAGGAGAGAGAAATGATCATTCCCCACAGGGGCTGCTTTCTTTTCCCTTTTCTGTCTCTTTCCGGCAAGCCACATGCCTGCTGGCAAAACCTTTTTTTTTTTTTGGCAGGGGAGAAGTTTTTGCTACAGGGCACGTGTGCTCACCAAGAGACACCAGGCGAGAAATCACCATCCCTCGGGGGTGGGGTGGGGAGGGGATGGCCATGCTGCAGTCTGTTTTCCTCCATTCTCCTCTTGGGATCTTGGGCACGCATGCACACGCGCCTGGCGTGAGTTTAAGCCACTGGGTCTAGAACACGAACCGCGG